AAGACTATTTGAGGCATTATGTATGAAAAATAATAATAAAATAAAGTAATAAATAAATAATCATGTGTCAAATATTTTATTGAAATAATATCCAAGGCTGAATCTTGAAACCTTGCCTTTAAGAGTAAGTATAAACGAGCATGTAGCTCAAAACGAAGAAACGACCGACCCACATAAAATGGAGCCGGGCACAAACCGAAAGGGAACGAAGGAGAAAGGGGCCGAACAAGAGGACAGGGACGGAGATCCCCGTTCCCAGGATCCAGGGTGAGACGGTTATAACCCATTCACACACAGCGGCTCCGTGGAGATCAATACTCGTGACGGCGAGACACAGCGTAACAACCCCACGCCGCCTACCCTTCGAGAATGCCAGCCGCCACGCAGCCGATGGAAAAGGTACTGGCCTATTACGACACAGCTGATCACCGTGAAATCCAAAACGACAGATTACACAAACGGCGACCGCAGATAATTATTTTGAAAAATGTGCGTTCCCTTGGCTTTCGCTTAACTCGACCACTGGGGCCACTTTAGAACCACGTCGTAACCGTAAAACACGATGGATGGTTGCTTGTGGGTGCTCGTGAATTAGTATGAAAATACATGATGGCACTCGTACAGGATATGTAACGACAAATTTTACTTATTTTTTTTTTTTTTTTTTTTTTAATCGTTTCACTGACCCATGCGAGTGAAAATGGTTCATCTGATTGTGAGTTGAGCCTAACTACAAAACATATGTGGAGCCATATCCGAAATAATTGGGAGACAAATGTGTCCTGTTAACAGAATTTTCGAATCATAGAAAACACGAATCCAGTTTCTTGATATTAAATCGCATGTATCCAAGTGACGATGAAGATATATAGTAGTCAATTTGTCTCAATATTTAAGAACAAGTATGAAAGAAAATTTCATTGTGGACGAATTATGCCTACAATGTCAATACGAAATATGGATTTAAAATTTCAATTAAAAATTTTTTTAATAAATGTGCTTATTGTCTAGTTAATTATAATTTATAAAGTATCTACATATAATGTTACGTATATGGATATCAAAGAAAGTTGATCATACGATATCGTGCAGTATTACATTTCCATTTGATTTAACAAATCAAAATTTGCAATACAGTTTGGTAATAATATTGAAGCACAATTTGCAAATGAAAGGAGACACTGGTCTTTCGTGACGAGTAAATGTGTATATCGCAACTCTGCATCAAGCACAATTATTCGTGACGTGGGAACAAAAAATAAAACTCATCCCCCTGCAGAATCAATTAACACGCATCCCTCGAACGTATTGGTCATTTAACTGCCGATAACGATTTCCACTGACGTACGTTTTGACACATCAATAGATGAATATATACAGCGTTGTCAAACCATATTGAAAATATTCCTTTTTAAAACATTTCGCAAACATATTGATCTTCGCGATATTTTACATTTACACGATTTAATTTAACAACGGTGATCTAATTCGGCTAATTGTGCACGAAGAATAAAAATTAAATTTCTTATGAAAAAGTCAGAATGATTAATTTAGTTAATGTTATTTTCTAAAAATGATGCGAATTTGATAAATAGGAAAAATTATGAATATCTAGAGAGTGTATTTGATAATAGGATAACACTTCCTTTATCTCCTTCATCTTCTTAGAGACAAATAATCTTCTGTTCTTGCACCTTCTTCTTCTCTTCTTCTCGCTCGATCTTTTTTTAAACAAGATATAATCCGAGATGAAACAAATTTCATTT